AGTGCTAGTTGCCAGTTTTGTATGCAGCTCCTTCCAATAGTCCACTTGGACACATCAACTTGCAGTGAAGTTATGGAACTCCAAACCCTTTTACATAGGTTGGGGCAAGTTAGGACCTTAACATTACCTGTTCTTTAAGGGTAGGTAAGATACTTTTAACAAGAGAGGAGAGGAAGTGATGAAACTTAACAGCAGGAGTAGCTTTCCATATTTTTCACACTGTTTGCCACCAACCCTAAACACACAGAAGCTATGTCCTGAAAGTTCTTACAGCAAAAATGTGATACCATAGAATGAAACCTACCTTCTGCTCATTTGCAGAAACAGATGTCCTTGCTGCCTTGCCAGGCTTGCCAGAGAAATACAGAGCCTGGAAATCAGTAAATGCTACAAGAAAACTAAATTTTATAGGCCTGACTTCAGTTTGTTGATATGTAACTTACTGCTTCTCTTGAAAGAGCTCATCAAATATTTCAAAGAGAGCAGAGATTTCTTTCATTACTTTTACAGAATAAAACCCACAGAATAAAAACCTATCAGAGTGGGAAGGGCAAGCCTGTGCCATTAAAAGTTTAGACTTTGTTAAATGCTCCATTCTTGCTTGTTTGCCACTCATGCAGTCAAATGAATGACCCCAGACAGCAGAGTATGCAAACTTTAACCGAGGGGTAAAGCAAATGTATCTAATCACAGGTAACAGAAGACTTTTTTCTGACCACTCAAGTAAAACTCTAGGCAAAAGCCTATTATGGTTGTCCTCAGTGCTGGCAGGACAGAGAAACAAAAAAGCAAAGAGAACTCTCCAAAGTTAATACCAACAGAGAAAATGTTTTTTCTGCTACAGAAGTGCTCAAGCTCACTTTTTCCTCACTGCTAAGGCTGAAGACAGCTATTCATTCACCTTTTTATGCAACCATATGGGGTCAAATGAGGGTAGCAAAGGCTGAAAAGCCAGAGCTAATGTTAGCACTGTATATTTTTATGACCTTTGGTGTGTTTACAGAATACAGAAGCTATTGTCTGGAATACTTTTTCTCCGTGCTGAGGAGGATGGAGTTAGGGAAGAGGATTATGAACAGTTCTCTGTTTGTGCATGACTACTAGAGCCAGCATCTCCACGATGCTTACCCCCAAACCAACTTAAGAGCAGACAAGAATTGTAAAATACACACCAATATGTGATGATGAATGGGAAAGCAACATTACATTTACCCGAAAAAAAAAAAAAGGCAACAAAATAATTCTTAGCCTTCTGTTTGAATTTTGACCATTTTAGAGCCCACACAATTCTATTCTTTCATATTCTGGACAACTGGTAAATACAACATAAAACAACTGAAATAATAGTGCTTTTGCTGCAGCAACTCAGTTCTATACTCTTTCTTTCTTCATCATACCAGAAATGTTACTATAGAAGAGCCATTCCTATTCCTTGGCCATAGAGATTCTTTATCACTTTCATCAGCCATATCCAAAGTTGAGTGAGGAAATGTTGCTTTTACAAGCTCTTTGGACACAGGTGTTGTAATTGAATGCTCACCCTAGTGCAGTCTGTTTTGGTGGAAAAGTATTCTCAGGTCATAGAAAGGCCCTATAAACATGGAAAGGATAGATTTATACATGTTTATATGTTCTGTATTTTTCTAGCCATTTAAGAGATAGATTGGTATATAGCTTAAGCAAACTTTCTTCTACCTACAGCAATTACAAGGCACTTCAATGACTGCTTTCCTTTCTGTTTTAGTTATTTGAACTGGAAACTTCTGAAAGCAGGGAAGGTTTCTCCAGGGGCTTGAGGAGTTTTTGGCAGGATGTTTGCACAGCAGATTTTCCACCTGGACTCCCTCTAAGTATGATATTACCAGATAGCAGCACTACATTATCACTGTTGCTACTACACAAAAAAAAAAACCAAAAACCCAAAAAACAAAAAAGCATCTTTTTTTTCCCCTCATGCTGCAGTACTCTGGTCAAAACCATGAAAAAAAATATTTTTAGAACCTAAAAAATCTCCTGACCATCAACTCAAACCCATCTTTCCATTAGAGGTTTTCTTGCCTTTTCAGCTTTTGTACAGCAAGCACATGATACAGGCTAAAGGGCCTCAAATCTAGAAATAAACTAATAGAACAGAGCAACATATCAACCTTCACTGTATTGAATCAAAACTTTAAGAGAAAAAGGACAAGAGTCAAATCCTATGCTGACTTTTCTTGCAATAAAATATCACTGGTCAGACAGGTCCCTCTAACTTTAGCGTATTTACTGCCTGCTGGCACTGTGCATCTGCAGCCTCTAGAGAAGAAGGTCCCAGACACAGCCCCATGGGGCTCCCCATGACTGGGCACCAGAGGAAGGCAGTGTGCCCAGCCTCCCACGGAACAGCGAGAGGTTGTTTGCTTCATCTTTCTTCTGGCACGCTCAGCTTCCAAAAAAACCTTGAAAACCCAGTTTTCCAGAAAACCCTTCCAAGACAAACCCTCTTCTATCTCTAGTTCCTCTCCAAATACCCTCCCCAGTTCTATACAAACTTTATACACTTTAGAAATGTATTTGCCTGGTCAGAATCTGCTCAATAGACAAGCATGTGTGGACAGGAGTTCTTAGACTAAAAAGACCAGGATACTGGTGATCATGAACATGTTGTACTTTGTCAAAGAAATTGTTTTGGTTCCTCTACCAAGGCACCATTTCACATGTTAAAGAAAAAAAAAAATTGCCTCACACCAATCCATGCTGCTTCTCTTCCAATTTAGTCCCTTTAATAGATGCTAAGAAGTATCCACTCCTGAGGGGAAAAAACCCACCAGTATACATTTTTGGCAGTCCATAGCAGGCCAATTATCTGCAACCCCCTGTCTTCTAACCAATGCCTCAGACTCTACAAATGCCATCATTAATTCTGTGAATATCAGACCACTCTTAAAATTTTGGTATTCAAATAAGCAACTTCTCTTTGCATTGCTTCAGACCATACAAGTACCAAAAAAACAAAACCAAGAACCAGCTTTCCAAAAATCCCCAAACACAATTGTGAAGAAAAGAACAGATATTAGGTTTGGAAAATTCTGTTTGGGAAGGAAAATTTAAAGATATTACCACAAGCTTGAATGTTCCCAAGAGTCAGTTTTGTAGCATGATGTCAGTGCTCTGAACAAGTTAGCAAGCTGGCTGGAGAGAAAGAGGATGTAAACACCCTACAAATGCTCAGACACTCTCTCTGACACAGTGCTCAGAAAGGAGCTGTCACACCACCTCACATTGTTCATATTATTAACTTTTTTCACCTCTTCTTCCAGGCAATTGGTCACTGCCTTCACACACCATCACATGTACATATCCCACATATCTCAGCAGCTACATGGGGCATAAGGAGACTGAGCTCTGTAACACTTCTCTAGAGCTGCTCTGGAGTTGACCTGGGGCTTGGTCATTAGTAGGCAGGAGAAGCTGAAGCACCACCAAATATTCCTTAACTGGTTGATCAGAGCTGGTCCTTGAGTAACAAGAAAGTTGATTTTTCTCTCCTCCAAATGAGCTGTGCTTCTTAGTGCTGTTTAGAAGGAGCCTTCCTGGAGCTGGGACTGAAGTTGTAACTGGCTGCTCTCCGGCCAAGCTAGCCCAGAGCAGGGGGCCAGAACATATTTAGGCTGTGCTTCCAGCTCACCAAAGGCAACAGCTACTCTGGGGAATATTCTGGATACAAAGGTCTGAGTATGTAAACCATCAACCAGAGTGATTTATATCAATGTAAGAATACCACAACTGTCCACTGCTGGATCTTTAACACAGATCAGGAGCTAGCAGTTTTGCCACTGATATCTAATTCCTACATGAACTGATTTTAGCAGCATCCTGGCTTGCCAGACCTATAATTGCACCACTTTTGGAAAAGGCTCTTTATTATAGGAGTAGAAACAGACAAAGAGGTCTGAGACCTAAAGAAAAGCCAGATAGACAAAATCAGTTCACATTTCATTGTTATTTGAACTCTAGTAAATACAGCCCTAAGAACAAGGGAAATCTGGATGAGGTCCAGTGGATTCTTTGGCCTGAGTCAGTGCTGTACTAGAAGCTGAGACAAGGAGAAAAGACTTTAAACAATGCTTGCATCCTCTCCATCTGCAGACTAACCCAACACAGCCACAGGTCCTGGACATGCTTAAACAGCTCAAAAATCTGTTTTGAAAGAGGCATGAGAACACTCTTATGACACTGCACAATCTGTCTACACACATCCTCCTGACTGCATTTGGACCTCCAGCCTTTCTATGTCTCCCAGGCTCAGTGTGGTAGTGGACCTACACATATAATAAGCCTCTAAGCACCCTGCCCCTCTGACCATCAATGTCAAAGTCTTCCTTGCTGTCTTTTGCCAGGCACAACTTCCCACCTATCACCTCCCTGCTCCCACCCCTTGCTTTGCAGTGTTTTTTCTCACCTCTAACCTTCAGTTTCTCTTCCTTCATCAAAACTGATTTAAAACCTTCCTTCTAAAGTTAAAACTCTGTTTACAATATTTTGATTTAAATGTTATGACTAAGGTTTTAAGCATTTTGTATGTGCACTGACTAACTAAAACCAAGAATGCTTACATTGGCACTGGTTTACACCTTCAAAAAGTCACATTCAAACTGCTATCAGACAGGTCATCTGTCAAACCTTCACACACCTCCCTTAACTGTGTCTTTAAGGACTTGAGATTTTTTTTTTTCCTATGCACCACTGGTTGTTCAAAGAGATTTATAAATGATAGAATTTTATTAGAGCTGAATAATGCTTGAAACATTGAAAAACCAAAGGGACTAACATTATTTTCCAACTATATTTTTACAGCCAAAATAAAGGCTTTTAGGAAACATAAGACTGAAATTGTCAAGAACAAATCATTCTTAAAACGACCAGAACAGCCATCTTTTAATGTTCTTAAATAATAATGTATTGCAAAGAAACCAGCAAACTCATGTGATCACCAGAAATAACTACAGTAGATCTCTAGCTCAATCTTCCTGGAAGAGCAGCACATACCTTCCCAGTTAGTAACTCACAAACATTACCATGTATTTCCAGCATGTAAGACCATAGGGCAGCCCTTCTCTTCCATTCCCTGTCACTAAGGCACACCAGCACTAACCAGCAGATTTCCTGGTTGCCTGAGCACAGTCAATCAGCTGTGTCCCAACCTGAGTCCATATGAAAAATATTTGTCTTTAGTCTTGCCAGTGTTGCATGTGGGCCATAACAGCATAGACAGGACCTGTTGCAAAAGGAAATAGTTTTAGAAATGGCTTCTTCTTGCCTTCAGTGTCTCATGTACATCTTTGGGCATTGCCTTGTAATATCCTGGAATGCTGGAGGGCTTCCATTTACCAAAGTCTTCTTTATGACATAACCCATTACAGGACAGGAATGCAGGCCTCTAACATAAACTATACCTCCCAACTTTAACCACAGCAATGAGAAAGAAACAACATTTCAGTTTCTCTTTTATATACTCTCACAGTGAATAGGCATCGTGCGTTATTCAAGGTTTTAATTGTTAAGCAGCTGACTGTTAAATCCCACCAGGACTGGCATATTTTTTTTACTTTCTGAAGGATCATGAAATGGAAGCAATAATATCTTTAGTAGTCCTAGAGTAATCTTGTTGCCTTCACGCAAGTACTTGATGCATTCATCAAGAATGCATTTGGAGATGCATTCATTTCTTTCTCAAAAGAATTAAGGTTAAACTATGATATGAATCTCTTTGCAGACTCTTATTATTTTGGTCAGAGTGCCCATATCAAAAATATCAACCCACAGGTAGGTAGAAATTTCATTTGAGGAAAGCTGGCTGTCTAATCCTGCAACAGTATGGGAGTATGGGGATTATGGGATGCTTAGAGCAAGCACCTCGTGATGGACAAAAGGCAGATTAGCCAGGCCTAAGCTAACATGGTCCTGGAGAATACTACGCTGAGTCACAAGGGGAGGTGGACAAGAAAAGTGGGATGCATCAGCACCCTAGTGACAGCCATCCTTGTTGTGACCTACTGGCACAAGATCAGAGGAAGATGATGGAAGAAAAGAGATTTTTATTTCCAGTCTGACAGAGCAAGTCTGTTTTCTGATGTCCAAAGTGGGAGATTTGATGTTTGGTAAGAAGCAGCTTCAGCATCACAAGGCACTTTCCCGGGCTGGTAGGTTCAAAGGAAAAATGGGACTGGCCAGGCTCAAAAGCGTTGTTCAGTCATGGCTGATAAGCATGTGCTTTATGGCACTTGTCCTGAAAATAGGGTCTTTCACCTTTCAGAACATGCTGAGGGACCACCTACAGCAGGGAGACATGGGACAGGCCATCTTCCTGTTTGCTATGGAAGTAAAGAACAATGACAATTTGGAACTGCAGGTAACTGTAAAATGTATTTTAGTCTGAACTTTGCTTACTTTCAATAGGCCACGGAAGCCTTGACAGGTTAGTTTTATTAAGCCTACAAACCCTTAGAACAGATTAGTTACAACAATACAGTAACAACAGTTTCTTTTTTTTACTGATATTTCTTCCTTCCTTTCCTTTAACTTCTCATTTCCAAGTCCCTCTTTTCCCCCATTACATAGAATTTTCTTTGGTAAAATGTTTAAGTTAATTACATTTCAAAAAATGGAGATTGTTGTACTCTTTTTTCAGCTAGTTAGAGCTACATTAGATTCTAAATGCCTCTCACACAGTGTCTGACCTCCTCATTCCCAAGAAAATCCTTCAGTTTTAGTGAAGGAGAACCATTGTGCATAAAGCAGATGACTAGTACTGAGAATACTCGATTGTTTTCCAGCTTCTGCCATGTGCTTCTTGAGTGTTTTCCAGGAATTTATTTTACTTTGCTGTGCTCAGATCCCCACGTATGAAATGGAAAAAATATCATCCAACAACATGATATGAAAACCAGATATTATAATTATTGCTAAACCAAAGGAAACACTCATCACTTGGTTTTGTGGTTTTAACGCCTAAAAGTAAACAAGACTATATACCTCTTCCAACAGAAAATAAAACAAGTAAATGCACTTCATTCACAGCATTATTTTCCCACATGGGATTAAGAACTACATTTAAAAAATCAGAGTGAGAGACATTACTTATCATAATGTAAGAAGCCCACACCGATATGGCTTCATCACAGTGATCTTAGCACTGTGAGCCATCTTTACACAGACAATGAAGTCCATAAGCAATCACCGTGCTTTGCTAGTGAATAGAGGCTCAAGGAATATGGTTCCTTGGGGCACTCTAGAGAAAGCAAGCATCAAGACAGCAGATAAGAAAAAATTATCTTTTTCCAGTGACACAAACCAAAGTAATCAATGAACACATTCTTTGATAGAGGCAATTTTAAAAAAAAATAAAATACGGTGTTTCCTGAAGAATTTGACCCTCCTCAGTGACAAAAAAAGCTGCATGCCAATACAGTTTTATAGAACACATATACTACTGCTTGCAGTCTTTTTGTCCCAGGACAGCTAAAAGGTTCATCTTGGGAGCAGCATTTACTAAATATTTAGCTTTTTTTAGAATGGACTTTCATTTCACTGGTGAGCAAGAATTTCCTTTATATGGGATACATCTTCTGTCACTTTGGCTAGTACTTCACATTGTCAGAGAAGAGCTTTAAGTTTCACTTAGAAACTTAAAATTTATATATAACTTATGGAAAAAATAGCAATACAAGGGGAAAAAAAATATTTCCATGAGAGCATAATGTGCAGTTTCCTGTAATAGACTGCTCTTTCAAATCCAGCAGAAGGTAGTGGATCTCTTCAGCATTCACTGGGCTGCTAGACATGTAAAGATGAAGCATGCAGGAGCACAAAACTAATCGGTGTATTCCAATAGACATACAGGAATGACACATTTCCTATAGATATCTGGACATAGACAACGCTTTAACTGCCTGAGACAGCCAGACTTTTCTGTGTGTGCAATCCACACATTCCAGGCCTTCTAGGGCTCCTGCAGGACTGGACTGCTGTGATTCCACAGGTCCCATCGTGTCCTGGCAGTGCCAAACTGGGCTTTGAAGACGGTTCTGCTCAGAGCTGCTCACAGCCCGATCCAGAGCTGCCAAGCTCCCTCTACTAAAAGTCAGAGTGCATGAGGGAAGCACACGGAAAACAGGATTACGCGTTTAAAATAAAATAATAAATAAATAAATAAATAAATAAATAAAAGAGGGTGAAGCATGCAGGCCGTCTGTCCAGGGCTGCGTTTGCCTGCCCTGCAGATACAGGGATGCCCTGGGCGCTGTGAGCACCCGGAATGAGCGAGTTTTTCCAGCACGGCAGGTTCCGGCGGGGCAGCCGCGGGCCAGCGCTGCCCCCCAGCGCTCAGCCCCGGCCAGAGGCGCCTCCCAGACCCTGCCCGTCCTTCCTGGGAGCAGAACCACAGCTAAGGATGCACAGAGAGCTCTATGCTCACAGGTAGGGAGAAATTCCAATAGTGTACCTATAGAGCTATAGCTATATCAAAGAACTGCGGGCATTCTATCATTCTATAAATGTATCTATAACAATATATAGTTTTTTATTACATATACATATCCACTCCCCTGTACAAGTAAATATTTACCCTTGTTCCACACAAAAGCACCTTTACATACATACAGTAGATTTGTACTTTTTTTTTGGTTTTAGATATCTGCACATGTGACAAACAATACAGCAATTAAAGCATGAGGGTAGTGCTAGGTGTGATGAAGAAATAATGATAATTCAAAGAATTCTCATATCTATGACAAACTAAGGTTCCGATACGATAAAGATGGTGCTTTACATCCCCATTTCATTTTCACAGCAAATGAAATGTTCCCTATCAACAAGGAACATCTTGCTCTGTAAATACATGCTCTCTCCCTCTTCCCTCCCTCCTCTCTTACTCTTTATCTAAGATTTTATGATTACTTTTACTCCCAGCTTTCCAAAAGATACAAACTGGACTTTTATACACAGCAAGAAAGTCATAATTAAAGCTTGACACTCCCTTTAGCTAGGGGTTTGTGTTCCTGAGTACTCCTAAGCACTCCTAAGACACTTCCCAAAAAACAATTGCAAGAGTTGTGGTGGTAACAGCAAAAGCACACTGGAAATGCCTTCTGGCTCCATTTAGAAAAATCCCATTAAGGATCATAACTGGATGTGACACTGCTGCCTGAGAGTGAGCATACGGGTACTAGCGTCACTTGTAGATTAACACCAGTTTCACACTGTATTTCATATTCACCCTGACCATATTTACAGAGATTGCCATTTTTTTCAGGCCATGGGGAAAAGTGCTTTGCCTTCTGCCCTTCCCCAACTCACCTCCAACCTAACATGCAGAATCCTACAGTGGCAAGCATCTACAACCATTTTCCACAGACGTGACCTAAAATGTGGAGATTTACTTTAGTTATTTTGAATATGATCATTATATGTTCTCTCCAGACAGGATTAACCAGAAATTTGCCATGTCTTGGCTGGGCTCCAGTGTCTCTGACACAAAACTGCATCCCCACCAGCTCTGTAAAAGGATGTAGTCTGCCAGGATTTTCCCTGAGCCTTCAGAAAGATCTCATACCAGATCTTAGGGATGACTCAGCAAACAATCCTTACCTCTCCTACATCCCCTCACAGAAAGGAAGCCAGTCCAGAGGCCTAAATTACAAAGACAAAATCCTCAGAAACCATGCAGTAATACAGACTCATGGAAAACCCAGACACTTGAAAAAAGTAGAAGAGCTGGAAGAGAAGAAGCAGTGCAAGGAGTTAGCCAAGTCACAGTGTGGAAAAGATAAGCTGCTCCAGGAAGAAGACAGTGTTCTCTGTGAGCAGGCAGAGCAAATTGTACTTTCCCTCTGATTTAATTAGGGCAAAGAACAACTTCAGGGATCCCTCAGACTTGTTTCTTTAATTAGGAGATTAAACAACAAAGTATACGGACAGCTGCTTTGATATCCTATAGTAATTCGAAGATTCATACGTCATAAACTGCATTAAAACAAGGACATGTAACATGGTGTGTGACATTTTAAAATAAACATATTTGGGTTATTATTTATGTACTTCCTAATTAATTTTGTCTGTATTCCAATATCTAGACCAGAATATCTGATGTTTTAAGTTTATCCAAATAAGTTAAAAAATGTCCTGGTTTATGTATTGCCCAAATACAGTGAAAGAATTTTCTGAGTAGAGCTAAATATGCTGGTATACACTGTATCCTCACAAGGAACATGAGTCAACAGAAAAACTAGCTTTATTGCTTTATTTTTAAAGTAAAATAATCTCCTAATACTTTCTTAGTTGTTTAGGCACATTGGGTTCTGTAATACAAAGCAAAAGAATTTTAAACTTTGAATGCTGCCCCTGTTACAGTAACAACCCAAAACCAACTTATCTAAAGCAGGATTTGGGATTTTGCTATTAAAGGGCTGGAGTCTAGTCACACTAGAAACATAATGGCCTGCCACAGTTCAGTAAGACAACATGCTAATCCCTTGGACTTTCTTCAGTTAATTTTGGAAACCACTCTGCCATTCATAATGCAGCACTTTGTCTTCGCATACCCATTTTCTGCTACAGACAGCAGTATTTAATACTTTTTGACACTACCATCATTCTAGCAGCTGTTTTATTTTGGTTTTGATACTGCCTGTGGAAAATGCAACGTTTAAAAGTAAAACGAAGGAAGAAAAAAGAGAGGAAACAAGTGCAGAACAATGAAAGACTTTGCACTCATGTGAAGGCAGCTCCACCAGCATGGAAATAGATGGACCAGCAGATGTGAAATCAAGGGAGGCTTTCCGGTGTTTGCTGAATCATTTCTTCCTTTGTTATCGCTACAGGGCTTCCTGTCAGCAAGTCAATAGTGCATTCAGAGCACAGCTAAAAGGCCAGATCCTATTCACTGAGGAGCCCCAATTAGCCATGTGATGTCAAGGGACCTTTTCACATCTAACACAGTAACATTGTATCAAAATAAAGATTATCTACTTCCAAAGTTGGAGGAGGGAAAGCAAACTGGAGCACACCCATGCACCGCTATTTGGGCTTGTAACAGATTTTTACACTGTGCATGTCAAGATTTGTTCCGTTCTCTCATTTTTCTTGATCAAATAAGCATTATTCAGCAGGGTTTCCTTTGTTTTATTTTAAAGAAACAGAACACAAGTTACATTAAGCCCTTTAAGAGAATGAATATGCAAGTTTACTGAGAATAAGATGGACTGAATTTAAAAGTGTAAGAGCCACCCTGTCTTTGGGGTCACTGGTTGAGGATTTCCAGATAACCATGACTGAAAACCCGTTCTGACCTGTTCTGTGTAAACTGCCTTAATTGACCCTCAGTAGCATAGGCAGAAGAAGAGATGGGGAGGTGCTCTGGCTTAAGGCTTATAGAAAAATTAGGCAGGCATTACATATTTTCTGTTTTCTCTGACAGCTGAACTTTTGCACAAAGACTCAGCAATTGGGGGCTAACTAACTCAAGTGACCACCTCTGCCTCTTACCTGAGCACTGGCCCTACTCTAGAGCAGCCTGAAGCTTATGACACCAGAGATCTGACACCTGCACTCAACACGGTCCTGGGGGCAGCCTGATCCCTGTAAGAGACAACTACACACCAAAGAAAAAGTGCAGGTTTGTAACTAAATGTCCAACTCCTGCTACTCCTACAATGACTCTTTTTCTCCATGAGAAGAAGAAACCATCTCTCAAGATGACAAACCTGTCTATAAATATCTGCAGTGGAAAGGGAGTAACACTGGTTTTGCGAATCCCTATGTACAAAGCTCAAAATCTACAAGGAGGGCTTCCATGTAATTCATAGTATAGCTGCAGCTCTGTTCCAAAAGGAGGTTACTGAAACAAGGCCTATAGAGCATCTTTTTTATTATTATTACATTTGATAACTGAACAATAACTGTGTTTTAACAGATATGAAGTTTTGCGTGAATTAAGCTAGTTTCTCTAAAGTTCTCCTATGTTGTAATGAACTAGGTACCTCTACAGAAATATTAATAACTTTCTATATCACACTTTCACTATTTTCATGAAGATTTCAACAAAACAACTCAAGACTCCAGGAAATAATATCTTACAGGTAACAGAATCCAGTTTGGTTAAAAGCAATGCCACCTTTGAAAATAGATCAATAATTCCATGTGAAATGATCTGTTTTATATCAGGGACCAATAATTTTTCTCAGGTAATTTTTACTCCTCTTAACTTACAGCTTACTATGAATGTCAGGGCTTAAATTTTCTTACATGCAACTCTAGGCAGTCCCACCTCAGCTTTTAGAGATGACAGACCTTGACAAGTACACAGAGCACATAGAGAGTTTAAGCAATGCAAGCTACTAAAAACTCCTGAACCTTAGTATAAAAGCCTACTCTAATATATCAAGTCCCTATAGGAATCTAAACTGAAAGAACTAATCAGTATTTTTTTTTACTTGTCACACAAGCCACATACTGATTAAACTACACAAGAGATAGCTCCCTAAAGGCACAAGGGTTTTTTTTTTTCTTTTTCTACCTTGAATACAGATTCTTTCCCTAGACAATCTTAGCACTTCCCTCTCCTTGTTCATTTTTCTAACATGCTCAATTTTTATAAGCCACTTCATTTGTGTGAGGCTTTGAGACAAAGCATCCATCTTGATCAGTGACAAGCAAGAAGCCTATGTAGCAACACAGTCTAGGAGACTACCAATAACACAGGAGCTGCAAGCATTTCCATCTTTTCTTTCAGTACAGGACTTATGGGATAACATATTCTTCAACACAGCTGTAGCATATTTTCCTCTGTCCTGTCCCCTGAACTAATTACACCTTTCAAGCAGAAGTAGACAAGCTATATGATTTATTAACAGGAACATGCATATCAAAAACTCTTAGCTGCAAAACTTCAGAATCAGGATTTTGATTTTTAGAGAAAGAAAAAAAATACAAACAAACAAATCAGCCCACCCTTCACACTACAACAAACAAACCCCTCTAACCTCCTTACATAAGATGATAAAAAACCTTTTTTAATAGCTTACTCTTTGAAATAAGTACACCACACCTTCTCAATAAACTACCCTAAGTAGTTTTCTGTCATCTGTATCTTATTCTCATCAAGAAGATTAAGTTAGCTATTTAAGGTGAGTTTTTTCACACTACCACTTACAAGACAAGCCAAACAGGAAAACAAGGTGGTTTATGTACTTAATCTACTGTTTTGTTTCCTACATAATAAATGCAATTAAACTGAATATTCTGTATATATTTTGATTGCAATGAAAAAGAGCTGCTATTTTAATTACTGTAACATTCTTATCTAAATATGGTAATAGGTTAAAGTGTTTAAATTTTAAAGAGCCTTTAAAACATTGATGCTTCTGTTGTGAACTCTTTTGCTATTACAGAATTTGGAATTGGTTCAATTAGCTTACCTTCCAATATAAGTGCACAAACTCAAGAAAACAAGGGAAACTGAAATGGAAAATCAACTTCATTTTGTTATTTTCTCTCTTCCAGTAGTTGCAACTCTATGGCAGGAAAACTGAACCTTGTGTCAAGCCAGACTGTAAGAGCTGTGGCTTAAGGTCTGCCACACTAAGGTTAAAAAAGCATTTAATATGCAAAGTTATAAACTAGTACACCAAAAGATGCTTACTTGTGGCTCAGTAGTACTTTCCAAGGCTGGGATAAATAAACAGGATAGAATTATTTCTTCTGAGTTAAGTCTGCTCAGGCTTATCAGCAAAGCAGGTGTCTGACTGACATCACTGAAGTGATTAAAGTACCTCAGGTGTTTTCAGAGAAGTGGTTGTTGTTAGAAAATCATGTATCTAAGGCAAGAAAGGTGCTGCATCTGCTCTGGGTGTCAAGGTAGTGAGTTAAGTGGGCTTTTTTTCCTTGATTCTCTTCTAAGAAGTAGCAGGACATAAGCATTTGTCTTCCATAGACACTGCTGTGCACATTAATTATGTAGAGTGAAAAAAAGTATGGTTTTTTCCCATGGGAACTTAGGCAGAGTGTGAACTCTTCTCTTGCTTCTCGTGCCTAAGGAAGCTCTGATTCACTAGCACTTATTCTACCACCTTCTGAGAAAGCCCTTGTACTACTCTGATAGGCTGGATGAAGGAAGATGTACTCAAAAAGACAGGGGAAAAAAAGCCCCTATTAAAGCTTTCAAATACAAAAGTCATTCTGGAAAAGCTTTTCTGTATTTTTGTTTGTTTGTTTTGGGGTTTTTTGGTTTTGGGGTTTTTTTGGTGGGTTTTTGGGGTGGTTTTGTTTTGGTTTTTTTTTTTTTTTGTAATTTTATTTTTGATTATGTGGCTGTGTTGCAATTTTTCTGGTGTCTACCCTTGTAGAGCCAGGGTAATACAGTTCCTCTGTTTGAATCAACCAGAGCACCTTCCCTGTCTTCCCATACTTCATGATAAACAGTGCTGTGTTTTAGCAAAATGCTGTGTGCTAGGCTAAATCCCACTCCTTGTATAGTGGTCTAAATCTGCTAGTTTTGGGCATTAATTTTCTTACTTATTCTCGAAGAGGCTTTTCAGGTAAGTGTTCAGCCTTTTAAAGGAGCTTCCCAATAAGAAAATAGGAGAAAGGATAGACACCTAGCAGAAGCAGCATGATAGTCCTGTAGCATGTTCTTTATATCTTAGGTGTAGCTTTTGTTTAAGGCTTTTGCTAAAACAACACTTTAATTCTTAAAGCAGAATGTACTCTATACCTTAATTTTGTTCAGGAGCAGGAACTCTTCATTTTGTTCCTTAGATATGAACAGATTAAATCCATCTCTTCCCCATTTTTTTTTCTTATATGCCTCCTTAGAAAAACTTATACAGTATTTATCTTTTCCACAAAACCTAGACTTAACAGCATAGTTTAAAGTGAAGTTAGGACTTTTGCTAACATGGAAATGTAAGGTGCTACTTTATGGTTTTGAGAGTCATATTTTTGGAGAAGTGTATTACTAGTAATGATGCCTAAAAAACTCCACTCTTTCAAGATAATGGAATTCAGCCAAGTTAGAATACATGCAAGCTACTTTAATATCTTTACTTGGTGCAGTAAAGCTTATGTAGAAGTGGGGTCTGGACAGAAATTATGCTGAATTAGCGGTTTAAATAGCATGATTTTTTTAAATGGGTTTTGTTTGTTTGTATTTAACTACAGTCTAATTAGTATTAGTCTGTTTTCTGAAGTTGTTTTTCTTCTGTAGCATTTTCTTCTTTCCACTTTTCTCCAGGTCTTCCTCAAATCTCAAAGCTCATATGTTGAGCAGGTATTAGAGAAAGAACAATATATAATAATTCACAGCAGATGAAAACTCAATACTAATTTCTAGGTAACTCTGTGGGAAGGATGGCACTGGAATCCTACCAAAATTTTAAGGGCTACATCTAACTTGTGATAAAGAAACTGTGCACAATAACATTTATTGTACCTTCCTTATTAGAGGAACAGTTGTTGCTTGTTTTAGTCTGACTTAGCAACAGAAGCATGAAATTTAGCTTTGCTCATGACTGAATCTTTGTGTTCCAAGTCTAGCCAATCTTTTTTCAAATAGATTTGAAGAGAAATCCCAGGGAATTGTCAACATCAGTTACAGCCTTGCAGTGTGATCTTATAATTGGATGCCACTTTGTTCCTTTCTGTAAAACTTCAGAGGATTGCTCAGGCAGACAATTTGATGTTAGTTTTGAGGAAAAATACTGTACTGAATTATTAGGACCAAATTTTTGTATTAAATACTTTTTTTAATTGTTCAGTTTGGGTTTTTTTTCCCAGAGAGAATTCTAGTATAAGAACAGCTTGTTGAGTTAGGGACATATCATACTTCTTTTTCAAAAGTTGATTCCACCATGAATGTAGGAATCAGGCTTATAGCAATTATCACTTAGTTGCTCAGCATGTTTAGAAGATCTATATGCCATATATTGGCACTATAATGAACTAGTATACTTTTTACTAGTTCATGAACGTGTAACTGTGAACTCAATTATTTTCAGAGTAGTTTTGGACAGTAGCATAGGCTTATTTCCTTTTAATTGTTGCCTGCCATAGCATTTGTTACTAAAGATTCTCCTTTAATTTTGATTATTGTTGCCGGTTTTTCAGCATCAAATATAACTTGTTGGGTAATGAACACAGAACTTGAGTTTTTGCACTTTTTTTTGTACTTAGATCATCATTTCCCACACTTTGAAGAGAATCCACCAGGCAGAAATTACTAGTATCAGGGTTCCCTTTATTAGAATTAGTGTTTTAATTACAGGATTGTCAGACCTATTAAGCAAATACAGGTGCTATAGCTCACTGACTTTATGCCTATGGTTATAATGCACTTTATTCGTGTACAGCCTCGGCCTGGTTACATTGTATTACAGCTACAGCCCCACCTGATGCTAAACCAGGTGTTCCAGAGTCTTATAGAGAAGTCTGAAAATTTACCAATGCTTAAAACTAGGAGCTTTGAGAGGCCAAAATTAAGATTGGAGTCCCATCTCTGTGTGTTCTGTAAGAGGCAGTCGTTTTCCTAGGCTTTAGGTAGCTTGTGACAGAACCATATTTACTCAGAATGCAACAAAAATTAAAAAGAGGAAACAGAGGCATTAAATCAAGAAAAGTAATGAGTTTATAAAGGCACTAATAAATTGCTAGGTTCCCATTTCATATCTCCTTGCACTTTGCATAATTTCTCTATAAATGACTAGGAGGAGATAGTGCAGGGTAGTAAAGGTGGCTCACTACTTGTATTTATTTCAGCAGCATTCTGTATGAACACAGCGCTTGATGGGCAAAAGCTGAGTTCACAAGTTACGGTCCTCAGTATGCAAAGCACACGGGGGGTGAGTACCTAAACTGAATAAAAATCAGCAAAAACTGTAGCTGAAGTGCAAACCATATGCTAATAATCTGACTTTGTTTTTGATGTGGCATATATAATTAACATAGCATAGCAGCATGCAAGTAAAGGCAATCTTTTATTAATATAGATTGTTAGAGGAACAGTGGGGGTTTTTTGTTTGTTTCTTAAAATCCCTTCTACCAGTGGGAAATGGTAGAGAGAGATAAAAAAACTGGCTAATGACCCAGCCACCTGTTTTTAGGTGCGTTGTTCAAGCCGTGCTGTCGGGGAGGATGCAGTGAGTGATTTTTGGGAGAGCCGGAGCTCAGGGCGCTGGGCACCTGTGAGGGAGCAGGGGCCCACCTGCTTCCAGGTCTGGATTGCAAAGCCGCCTCCTGACTGCGGCCAGTCTGCCCTCAGCGGTACGCCTGAGGCGGGGTTATGTGAGCCGAAAGAAAGGAATGCCGAGGGCTGGGAAGGGAGCCGTACTTCCCTCAGAAGTAATAAAAAAAGGAAGGAAAGAGATGTGAAGACAGGCCGGGCCGCCCGAGGGAAGGCGCTTTCCTTTTGCGCTCCCGCCCCGCCAGGTGGCGCCATTGCGCCGCGGCGGCCCTGAGGGGCTGCGGGGCCGGGCGGGCTGCCCTGAGGGGCCGGGGCTGTTCTCCTGCCGGGGAAGGCAGGAAAATGCCGAGCTCCGGGGCTTTGGCAGCCGGCTGGAAGCACGGACTGAACGACGAGTAATGGCACCGCCCGACGCGTGCTGCTGTTGGGGGCGCAAAGAGCTGAGCTCGCTGTCGGGAGCTGCAGGGTCCGCCTCCGCGGGGAGCCGCGACTGCCTTGTAGGCTTTTGGAGCAGCGAGGGGAGGAAAAAACACTCAGGACTGTAAATGCAGAGCGAAAACACAATAATATCTTTCACCATCATCTTTTCTCCTCTTAGAGCTGCCCTCAGCTTTACTCAGCTGTCTCTCGGCGGCTGGATGACCGGGGCCAGGGACTCGAGTTGAGGTACCTGTTCCTGATGGCTCACGACACTTTTATCAAGCTCCGTAGAATTGTTTCTCCTTCATGAGGCTTTTGAACAAAACTCTGTGTCCTGCTTCTCTACTATCCAAAGCTGAGAAGAGACTACAGGCTGTGACCCCAAAAAGTCAGGAGCCAGGAGCTAGTAGGACATTTTCAGGCATTTAACCTGTGAAGTGCAACTGCTGGTGCAATTTTACCTTTGGGGATGCAGCTGTAAAGCATTTGGTGAACACTGCCAGCATGCCAGGAAAACTATGGTTCAGGGAAAGCTTTCATCAGAAGCAACTTTCTCTGTATCTTCTATTTGAAGGACACAAGAACAAATCTTAGTATGTCTTCTTACGTGGGTTTTAGCATAGTTAAACCAAGACACGATGATGTTTGAAAACTTTTTTAAACTTGGGAAAAAGTTAATACTTCAAGCTTTTTTAGTTTTTTATTCTGTTTGTCTACTTTTTGCGGTTGACTTATCTCTATAAAATCCTCACAGTGGTTTTATATTGGACATTCAAGAGGCTGATATTTTTGCAGATTGCAGGTTAGTTTCTTGTCAATTTAATGATACCTGAATAGATGCATATGAAGCTCAGTACCCAGTTTGGTCAAGGTTTTCTGGATAGCTGGGCACATACCATATTTCAGGTTGTGTAAGAGGTTTTAAATGATATAATCTTGTTCTGTGAATTTTGCGAGGTAAGCATAAGACTGAGAAGTCTCACCTGGCTCCTAACAGCAGCTGAGCTGTAGTCTGGAGAGATGAGCTTTCCTATTTACATTTTGTTCTGTGAGGATTCTGGGGAAATGTGTGTGTTTTAAAGCACTGTAGTTAACATCACTTTGCTGTTGAACTGGAAAGCTCTGCGAACACATCCAAAGCTTGTCTCTCTGCTGTGCCCTACTGTGCTTCTGAATGCCTCATTTAGCGCTTTCTGAGTTATTTGGAATTTATGGGAGCAATTCTTCAAATAATGCATTCACATCAAGAGCAGATCTGATGATACCAAATGTTCTTGAACATTCATGTTCTTATAGTGGTACTATTACCTAGGTGAAGCAATCTTTCAATTAAGACACAGTATAGCAGTGTTAATTTCTTAAGGCTTGTCCTTAAAGACAGTGACTACTGTAACGCACATCAGACTGCATAGGGTGATTTCTGCCAGGAAAGATGATTTCCTCTAAGAATCAACAATTCTGATCTTACAACCACAAAGTCTTAGGAAGGCTGATAAAGAGCTCATCTCATAACTTCTGACCAATGTAAGATCTACCTGTTATTACTTGCTAAATAAAAATACTAATATTTTATTGCACTGAGAATCTTATTATAAGTGTATATAAAGTTTGTTAGTGTCTCTATTCTTGTAGCAATAATTTTTCACCTGTGTATCATAGTTCTATATGGAATTTAAAGGCTATATAGGCCACATACCTCTCATTATCTTAGGTTTTGGCTATAAATACCCTTAAGAAGTCAAAGTTAGAAGCCTGAAAGTTGAAGGTGAGGTGTATATGGGGATATCAAGCATGGCAATGCATACCTTGTTAGTCAAGGTATTTACTTAAAAAGGCTAAGTAACAAAACAGAGTACAATAGAACTGATAAATATATCTTAGGACTGATCAAGCAGAAACCGTGGAAGAGACAGACATAGGTAAATGTTCCCTGGAAAAAAAATGACCAAGAAACATGTTGTGAAACTGTGACGTTACCAGGTGGAATGATGTTATAGTGAATGTGTACCCAAGGGAAATTGTTACCAAAAATAGAACCCTATGTAAGTGCCATACAAGTAAAACCCTATTTAAACACCTTGTAGACTCAATAAAATTGGCTTCTGATCTTGACTTGGATGTCCCTGTCTCTCAATCACCAAAAAGGTGGATTACAAGTTGTCCTGTAGCAAAGCTGAAGCAAAGAGAGGTATTTGGACTGTGTTGAGAAGTCCGTATCTGTGTTCCTATGGAGGCAATAATGAACATTTTGCTCTCTGTCCTCAGCAATTCCACTAGTTCAGGCACCAGCAGCCAGTGTGCTGTTGCAAATATTATTTTAGGCATTCTTGGGTTTAATGCTCACAAGCAGGTGGTTGTCAGGGTCAGCCAGATGGGTGATTTCTGTACTGTTTCTGATTGGGCAACCACAGTCATTAGGAAACTGTAAATTCAAACCTGTTAAAATTAAGTACACTCAAGTGCTGAGCATTTCCCTCCCTGGATGGAGTTTACAAATAATTTCTGTTAGTTACTGTCTTGTGCTAGTTCTAGGCCAAGAAATAAAGAGTAAGGAGTGTGTGTCTGTGGACTTCTGAATCTTTTGGGAAGGTGGAGGATTAAGAGGCCCTGTTAACCACTAGACTTTACTGGACAAAGGATTCTGCCCAAAAAGGGGTTGTCTGTATTTCTTCCTGCAAAGATCCATGTGTGCCACACTGTTACGTGCTACACTGCAAATTCAGCTTACTCTCTTCTTCCTATGCTTTCAAAAGAGGGTAATATCAGGTTGATCTTCACACCATGTGATTTTATTGGGTTTTTTAATATCTTCTGTGTAATTTTATTTATTAATGTTTTTATTTATTAAATGTTTATTTTGTCTTTGTGAGCCTACACAGGAAGTCTCATTCTTGGAGGAGGAAGAAATGGATTTGCCATCATTCCTTTTATTCAGTTCTGATCTTTAAGTCTTGCAGATGGTGTCTAACTAATGGCTTATTTAAACCAGTGAGTGTGTGCTCATACCTAGCTTGAAGCGTGCAGAGAGTTTTGCCTAATAACATTCAAGGAGGATAATGCTTCCTCTTATAGAATTTGAGCATTACACTCAAGAGATCACTTTTTTAAACTTGTTTTATCCTAAGTATGTACACTATAATTCAATTGAGTAATTTTTTTCTGGAGTATCTGGAGAGAAGTTGAATGGTTCATAGAAAAAGCTAACTGCCATGTCAGGAACATATACTATTACAAAATAGAGTTAATAGTGTAAATAGCAATTATTGTCATTATAGTATCTATTTTCAGTTAACACATTGAAATGGAACACACAAGTATACAGAAAGCACAGCTATGTAAGTTTCTCCTGCAACAGTTTTAAGTAGCTAATGATTTTTTTTCTTTTTTTCTGACAGGGTTTTTCTTATCACCCTGGCTGATGTGGTAGCTATTTTAAATTCCTTGGGCTTTTGTGCTGGCCCACACCTTGTGTGTGTATGTGCAATTATCCTGTTCTGCTTGCTCCAAGTTAACATTTCCAATGAAAAGCTTTTATTGACTGAGCTGATTTTTTCTAAGCATGTTTTTAGAAAGAAAACAGACTTTCTGTATAGTTTGTGCCATCATGAACTTCTGGTGTCTCTCCTATTGTGGTGTAAATTGTTAATGAGATGAGCCTCACTGTCCAAGATCTACCAGAAGAAAGTGTAAGGAAATGATTTACTTTTCTAACTGGGGTTACTCTTTATTGAAATGCAGAGGATTATAGAAGAATTCCATTTCTTTAGACAAAAATAAGTGTAAATTATATGACTGCAGTGAGGTCATAACTTGACAGAAAAGATGATCTGAAACTAGAAAAATCATGCTTAGCAGCTGAATGTGATGAAAAAATTGTCACTGTGATAAGGAGGCATATTTCAGCTCTGTGGAATATCTCTCTTGAGAAAGTTTTTTTATCAGTAGTTAATCAGACATTGAACATGTTTAGGTTTAATCAGTATGAATTGAACTTTGGCTACTCCTTCATTTCTGGGCTTCTGCAGACTGAGGCTTTGGTAGCTATCACAGTACAGGTGCAAGTGCTGAGTCTGGACCAACCACTGCAGAAAAATGTGTCCAGTTCCATATGTACCTGTGGCAAAGGGCTGTGCCTAGGAGATCTGCCTGCTGATATTATTATCTTTATTGTGGTATTGCATAGTCTCACTTTTGATAGGAAAAGTATTCTTAAGCATTGTCTAAAATTTTGATTCCAAGTCTTTGCAGATTTTTAAGATAACGCACGTGATGGTCTAAATCTAAATTGTTGAGCTCAAAGCAAACTTAAAAAGCTTAAACCAAAATTGCTCATTTTCCTATGTTATTTGCTAGAGACAGTAAAGAGACACTATGAAAATGACTCTTAGTGTATTGTGCTCAATTCTGTTATGCTGAATTAGCAGAAAGGGAGAAATAACTCTGCTTTTGCAGCCTTATTGTTGCAAGTTGGAAATTTGAGCTGTATGGCAGGAGAGAAAAAGTAACAGTATGTGAGGGAATGGTCCAAATTGCTGGTTAAGGTCTGCCCTCATTGCTGTTAGCCTGTATGTAAAAAAGCCAGCTGGTAAAACACTTATTTTTAAAATTTTTATTTATTTTATTTATTTATTTTAATTTTTTCATTTAAAATTGTTCTCTGTTGATCAGTAATCAACTGAAGTAATTAGCTGAAGTAATGTTTTACTTCAGGTTTTTGACCCTACATTTGCTTGTTCCTCTGGAAACAGCACTACTCCAAATCTGTACTCCAGTGCAGCAGTAATCCAGTCCTCTGCTGTTTATAATGTCTGAAATTTATTAATGAATCATCCTTGAATTTTCCTTGAAATTCTTAAGTATATTTTAGAAAGTTTTCATTTTTTAGTGCTAGGATTGAATTCTTCAAAGCAATTTCAGTACATTGTTTTTATAGGCATATCTACTGAAAAAAAAATAAAAATATTTCAGCCTCTCTTGAACAATATGTTTGTAGCTGGAAATTACTATAAAACATTTCTCCTGTCCTCTATGATATTTGCAAGCTAAAATCAAGCTAAAACAGGTTTTCTATCGTCACAGTTCTGCTGTTACATTAAAATGATGCAAGCATAGTATAATTGCCACTGTAAAACCATTGTCTGACCTTTATTTTAAAAGAATTGTCTTGTTCAGAGCAGAACTAAATGTAAGTGTGCAGTTGTAGAAAACAATGGTTGCTCTACCTTGTAATTATATGCTACAATCGATAAACAGGATGCCACAAAGTTCAAGTGCCAGGATTAGAACCCCACACAGAATAAGAAAACATTACTAAATGCTTTCTTGCTAAGCTTATTAGAAATGCTACGGTTGATGTGGCTTGTATTGCCAACACACTTTTAGCATCAGGTTATCCAAACCTGCTATGGGCAAGTCTGAGAAATGTTACTTGAGTGTAATTTGCAAGACTTTCTGATTAAAGCAGTTTGCTTTGAAATCAACAGAGATTTATAGAGTGTGCTTCTGAGAAAAGTAGCTGGCCTGTAAATTAAAGCTCCAATTGCTTTTTCCAACAAAGTTGTTTTGAGGTTGTTCCTGTGGTGTTGTGCTAAGAGCGTCTGATACCATCATGCTTGGATAAGTGCAAGAGTCAGTCAAGCTTGACCAGAAGGAACTGCATAGTAAACCAACTGAAGTTCCAAATTATCAGGCTATCATGAGTAACATGTGGTTACAAATGACTCAAAAGTTCTCTTTCAACCTCTGAAATTTTTAACACTCGAAAAGGAGCTCCTTATGTGAACATATATCTGTAACAAATTTAGGAAAAGTTCAGCAGAAAATTTATTTCCATATTTTTTTTCGTTTTCAAAGTTTAAACTTTGAAAATTGTTTTGGACGTTAAGAGAACTGAAAATGCAAATGAAAGATGAGGTAGAGTTAGTGAAGAAGGACAGAGGGGAAATATTAGTTAAAGTTTAGTAAAAAATGTAAGATAATCCTTGAAAATGCACTGAAAAGTTAAGTACAAATGGGCAGGGTGCATGGAGGATGATTTGTAGCTGTGCATTCAAAAAAATTGTGGAGTTAGTACAAGGAAAACTGAGTGACATCCTCTTACCTGAAGCTACAAGTACTAATAACAGATCAATTTTCCTCTGTTCTCTGCCAACTGGAACACCAGTTCTCCCTCCAGATTAGTAGTTTCCTCTGCTGAGAGGAAACAGAGAAGTTGGATGACAGCTTTCTTCAGGGCATTTGCCAGTATGACACCTGTTTGATCTATTGAGCCTCTATTTGGACTTGTCTGAAGTAGGAAAAAAGCAAGCATATCTATTTTACCTTCTCTTATGTGGGGGGCAATAAAAGAACAGGAGACTAAAGATGTATTCAGTCCTGCTTTTCTCTCAGAATTGCAAACCTAGGTGTTTGCATCCACACAGGAAATGTGCCCCATCATTGCAAATCCCACCTATAATTTATTGGCGATTGAGAGATGGGGCACCCAAGTTGAGATCAGAAGCCAATTTTATGCAGTATACAAGGTGTTTATATAGGGTTTTACTTGTATAGTACTTATATAGGGTTCTATTTTTGGTAACAATTTCCCACTGGATATACATTCTTCATGACATCAGTTATCTGGTAATCATTACAAAGTTTCACAACATTTCTCTAGGTCGCTTCTGCCCCAGGGAGTAGTTATCTGTGTCTGTCTCTCCCATGGTATCGGTTTGATTAGGATTAAGATACTAGGTTCCTTTATCAGTTCCATTGTACTCTCTGTTTTATTCCCAATAATAATTTATTGACGTGTTGGAAAACAAGTGGGATTTCATCTGCAAAACTAATGTTTCTGGTATGAGTTTGATCAGTTGTGCAGAGCACTGGAACTGCAGATGGCTTGTGCTGTGCAGGAAGCTGACGCTTACTCTGCTGTGCAGCACAATGAGAGATCTCCTGCCTTTGACATGTCATCAGTGACACCAAGTCACTGAACTAGAGAACCTTGTGGAGCAAGGGCACCTTGCCCCAAAATAAGCTAGTGTTTCGATGTTACAGCATTTGTATACTTTCTCAATTAGACCATGTAAATATAATCGGAGATGTTTCACAGAATACATTCTGTAGCCTATTTCTCATTCTTGGATAACAGCTGGCTCCTTTTGAGATCAGGGATGTACTGTGCAGCTCTTCTCCTTTTTACTTCTGGAATTAAAAAGGGCTGTTAAAAGACTTTGCTACCTCAACATTTTAAGTGGTAAAAATACTTGCTTAAATGCTTATTACAGACCTACAGAAAGCAAGCTGAAAATGTGTGGGGGAGGGGAACCACTTAGTTTCAAATTCAGACTCTACTTTTGAGGTCAAGGCTTTGTGCACGTATCTCTAAATGTGAATCCTACCCTTCCTTCTTTGGTTTCCCCAGTACTGGAATAACATTAATGCTTCTGGAAAAAAATATTTCTGAAAAGCAACTGAGTAGGAGTTTGTGATCACTTTGAAGCCAATTTCAAAACTTTTTTTACAAAGTTTCTGCAGTGTGGTATTCCATCCATTTTATTAGGGAAAACCAGGCTTGCTCAATTTCATCTAAAAGAGAAGTTACCAGATCCTGGAGGACTGTTTGTAACTGCAGCACTTCTGTAAGCTTTCCAGAGGAGTACAAGATAAATAGTTACAGCAGTTACTCTTGTAGTACAAGAAGTACCCTGTAAAGCCTTCACAGTAATTTGAAGAGAGTTGTCTCTTCATATTTTATTTAATCTTAATTTCCACAGGAAAAAAAAAATCAAACAAAAAAACACCCCAAAACACAACCATACCCCCCAAAAAATTTTAAAAAAAAGCCCCAAACAAAACTCAAAAGAGAAACAGAGGCCTTGTCCCTCCTGGTAAGCATACTGTGCTTCTCCTGAATCATCTGTGAAGAGGGACTGCCAGAAGGTTGCACTGAACTCAGCAGTTCATAGAGCCCCTCAGATTAGAAGGGACCTGGGGAGTTTGTCTAGTCCAGTCTCTAGCTCAAAGCAGGGTCAGGCTGTGAGCTCTGAGTAGCTTACTGAGGTCTTTATCCCATGGAATTTCATGAAAGGCTAGAGACCGCACAGCCTGTCTGGAAAACCTCCTCCACTGCTTGGCCATGTTCACAATCAAAAAGGCTTTTCTTGGGCTGTGTCAGAACCTCCCCTGCTTTAAGTGATGACTACTACCTCTTGACCTCCTGCTGTGTAGGAGGTCTGCAAAGAGCTTTATTCAGTTGTTTAAAAACAATCAAATGCCAATGTGAGTCCTAAAAAAAAGAAGACATTTTACTTTGCAGGCATTGGGTGTCCTTCCTACCCATGGCCAGGTTTTTTTTGGTTTTTTTTTTCAGTCCGAACAGACACAGTCCTCTCATCCTAACAGGGTATTTGCTCTTGTTCCCTGAACCTCTTGGTGGCCTGATACTGCAACCAGGGTGGTTGCTAGAGATGGGTTTTATCCTTAAGTATTGGGGGTAAGGCAGGAGGAACTTCAAATTCCTTTTCTAAAAGGACTTGGTAATCTTTCTTATTTCTGTATGAATGGAGCTGTAGGATTCCAGGTCTCCCTCCAATGTTGGGCTTAATTTATGTTACCTTTTTTGTTGAATAAAGCCCACTTCAGTTTGAAGTCCCTGACTTAGGACTGGAGTGGGATTTTCATTGTCCATGAAGAGCCTTTGTGGTTTTGGTCTGAGGAGCACTTGTGAGACCATCGAGGCAGTCTGTCCAGAGCCTGACCTAGAGCTGTGAATGGAAAATAATGAAACGCAATTCAGATGGGAGCTGTCCTTTACTGTGTCAGTAGAGTTGAAAGGACATAACCAAGCAGGGAAAAACAGCAGGACAAACCTATGTTTTCGTGTACAGTGCTTCTGATATCCTTCCTGGCAAAGGTGAGTCATGTGGTGGTTTTGTGTTTGAGGGAGCAAAAATCTATGCCCTGGAAGTAAGTCCTCCTGTTTGACAGAGCTGCTCCTGCTGGGATTTCTCAGCTAAGCGAGGTGTTTGTGCTTCAGGGAGAGGCAAGCGCTCTGCCGGTCTGGCATGGTGGTGGGGGCATGGGGAAGTGAACCCTATCCAAAACTTAAGCTGGCAATACGCCCTGGATAGTCAAACAGAAATGCCTTAATGCCTGGTGATGGGTTTGGAGACTTTCTGGTGTGGAATCGTTGAGTTACAATATTCATGCGGTAAGTGCACCGGGGTTTGTGACTGATTTGCATTACGATTGTCTGGGTTTTCTCCTTTCCTCTTGATAAATAGTAATGATTGCTTGTGGGCTTATCGAGTTATGAATTTTTTAGCCCTCCTACGCCTCTCTGATTCTTTTTCCCGTTGCCTTTTTTTCAAGCCTGCATGCCGTTCCCGGTTTCGCCGGCGGGCCCTGCAGCGTGGAGAGGGAGACTCGGCGAGCCGGGCGCCAGGAGACAACGGTTGGGGGATCCGGAAACGGCGGAAACGGCGTCCCAAGAACTCCTGGCTTTGCCCCCCGGTGACGAAACTCGGCGGCGTCCAACACCTCGTTCCCGTAACCCTTTCCTTCCCGCCCGCTCCTGGAGAGGGAGGAGAGCGGGCGGGGCGGACCCGGCGCCATCCCGGCAGCGCGCGGGCGGCTGTGCGGGCGCTGCCCGGCAGGGGGCGCTGTANTGGGAGAGCCCCGGGGGGCCCAGGGGTGCGGGAGCGCGCTCCCGCAGGCCGGTCCAGGGTTTCTCCCCGCGTCGGGCGGGAAAGGGCCGTTGTCGCCGTCCCTGGGAAGCGGGAGGGTGGAGAGGGTAATGGAGACGTCCCCCTCCCCCCCCAGCTTCTTCCGCCGTGAGGCTGGGGGCGGCTGAAGGGGAAGAATAGATCTGGCGGCGGGCTGGAGGAAGAGGAGGAGGAGAAAGAGGTCTCTTCCCTGCGCCTGGCCTGCAGTGGAGCGGGTGATGCCCGGCCAACTTCGCTCAGCGGCCGAGGAGGCTGCGCCGGGCGGCGGGGGGAGTCCAGGTTCGCCGGGCACGGGGTCCGTGCCCTTCCACGTCTTCCCTCGTCTTTCCTGCCACCCTCTTCCTCTTCGCTAATTACATGTGTATGCGAACCCCGCCAGCGCTCACTCTTAGCATCTCGTGCAGCTAAGCTTTAAATCTGGGGAAAGGAATACAAAGGCATTGGAGGTTCGTCTCCGTGTTAAAGAGTAGTGTATTCCAAGTGGTCAGGATGGAAGCAGAGATTCCCTACATGCTACACAGAGCTCAGATCCTGCGCTGGAGGACTGTGCAGAGAGTGGGCTACGACACCCAAGATCACATACACGTATAGGCAGAGGTGTTCATACTGCACCTGGCTTCTCTTTTGTGCTGAGAGCTAATGTTTATTTTATCGCAAGATGGTTCTTGTGGCAACTCTGCTTTGTTGCTCTCATTGTGAGAGTATCATTTGTATCTTGTAGTTAATGTACGAGCAAGAAAAACAAATACATATTTTTCTTAGGAAGTCCTACATTTTACAAAGTAGTTTTTAACTTGTATTGACTGTAGAAAGTATCAGCTCTCGTTACAATGTATACTTCTACAGACTGCTCACATACTGAAGCTCCCAGTTGCCCTCTCGGCTGGCCCCAGCAGGGATGTAGTACGGTTTTAATGGTTTTAAGTAATGCGGTTTAATTTGACCTGTGGTGGAACAGTGTGGCAACCATGTTGTTGTTTCTACAAGCACAGTAAGATAGATTTGAAATGAGCAGGTACTCTCCAGTAACTCAGGAGCAGTTGTGCAGCTCTAACCGATGTGCAATTCTAGGTGTTGCACTTTACGCATTTCAGTTCTTAAATAGGAAAAAGCACATTGTGGCCACTAGAAGAAAAATAAGCACTATAAACTTTTATTCCTATTTTATTATTTGATTGGTACATGTGCTATATTGTGATGTAGAGAAAAGGAAGAATCTGGTCATAAGAACAGAAGAACATAAGTTGTTCAGAATATTTTCCTTCTATATATCTATCAGTAGGAGCAGAAGTCTTCCTCTTCACGTTGAAAAACAGCTTCTGACTGACTTGCTGAGCACTTGGGTATAAGTACTGTAAAAATAAGTCTGGGACTTAAGGTGGCAACTGTGTTGAAGAGGAGAGCTTTAGATTATGCCTTAAATTTTCTAAATGCTTAAAAAATGGTAGACAGTAGGTTATTGGAAAAGAAAATGCAGAAGATCTGACAGTGTCATTAAAGATGCCATGACTAAACAAACCCTGTTCCTGGAAGTAAACAGTACCAGACTTGCCACAGTTAAAGAATCCCAAGTGTCATTGCTAGCCACTCTTAATATCTCTGTACCCAGTGCAGAACTGAACTTTAATTTAACTTTGTCATTTACTGTGGTTGAGTTTACCTATGCACACTTTGCAATTTAGAGTTGTGAAATGATCACTAAATATTTGAATTAGCTGAAGTGTATGAGTCTGTATATTGCTTTTCTTAAATGGTCTTGATTCATTTACAAAATACTGGTTCTTCACTTGTAAAATCCTGTTCTTTGTTTATATTTTGTTTTAAGGTCATGTTAAACTCCAGAACTGATGTCTGAGTCCTAATTTTAGAGTTTTTTGGATTAAAATAGATGTAAATTAAATTTAGCAGCAGATAGGACAGAATAAATTGTATAAAGCCTTTTACCATACTCTTCTACAGTTTGCATTCAGTTAATAATTTTGCAACATTTTATGTTGGTAAAAAAACAGATGATGCTTTAGAAAGAGCATTCCAATAATACATTTAAACACCCAGTCTGCAGGCTGGGTACTTCTTGGGTTGATTTTTTTCTGTTTGGTTTTTTAAAGGAAGGAGTTGTGTTTGGGTTCTGCAGTGAAGCTAAAATAAAGGCAGCTATCCATCTAACTGGTTCCATCATCTGGTAACTCCAGAATTGTATGTGAGTTGGGCAATATCTTGTATTGTAGCTATCCTATATGGCATTTGGGATTGAAGTGCTTAGGATAGGGTTGTCATTAATTTGATTAGAAAGAAGAATTTCAAGTTTATTTGAACAGTAGCTACTGGAAATAATGACAGCTATTGCAGAAAGCTGTTCAATGTCTAATGATGATATGTAGCACTGTCTGTCCTGTACCTAGTTGTATATATAAAATTAGCCCTAACATTTCGGGTCATGGGAAAGGTAAATTTAATTTAAAGCTGAGAAATAATCAAGCTCCTAAATAAAACATGCTCAGTATTGTTTTCATGTAATGGTTGACATTTTCCTATTTGGTTAAAACTGCTTGGCAACTGAAAATTTCAGTAATATACAACTGACTTAGAATAGTGTTGAGGTAATTGGCAATGTTTTGTACCACAGAGTTTATAATTTGTTACAGTTGGCACCATGAAGGCTTACCACTGCAGAGCCATTTTCCTCCAGGCCTCAGTTCAGGCCCTGAGTTTTTCAGAAAAGCACAAAGTCAGATTCAAGAACAGGTCTTGACAGCAGAAAATGACTGAAGTGTTTCAAATTCTGTATATGCTATCTAAAATGTATTTGTTAAAGAAAAATTGAAATGGACTGGAGGCACACGTGTATCCTCGCAGTTCCAGTGCTCAGATGACAATGATTTTATTGCAGATATATATAATTATAATTCAGTATTTGTTATATAGTCAGCTCAGTGTTAAGTCCTGCTGTCATAATCAACTCTAGCTGTCACATTGCTTTCAGGTACTGTTGAAGTTGGTTTTGAGTGCTATACTCCACAGAGTTTTCTTGCAATACTTGTCGTTTTTGCAGTGGCAAGGATGTTTTAATTCTAAAACACATTTAAATATTTTAAAAATTATTTCTATGTTAACATGTAGAATAAATGTAAATAGTTTTACAGTCACATAAATAGCCACAGGATTGTAATTTATTTTAGGGGGAACAGAGATCACAAATTCATTTTTAAGTGCAACACAAACTGAATATTTGAAGTTATGCTTTGTTTAGGCATATTAACTGTAAGAATGAAATGATAGGAATCTTGAAAAGACAGAGCAAATTCAACTTAGATATTTATTTCTTTAAAAACTGCAATAGTAATTCACTGATTGGTTCAATTAAACACAGCATTTCTAATAATTTAAAGTTTATCAATATCTTTACTCACAGGCACACATCTCTTCATGTATGAGCTTCATCAAGTCTTGCTGTTCATGATGTTTATTGATATTTTTGGTTTTGCATTCTCTTTAAAAACAAAGCAAAAATATCTCCTGCATAAGCTATGTATGCTTTGGTCAAATCACTGAATATTGTTTTCATTTTGCTGAGACTGGTATTTGCATCTTTGATTTACAGCCATTTAGAAGGTTTAGTAATGGTAAAATCTAGTCAGGAGAGTTAGATAGTATATCTAGATTTGGAATTTACATTGTTGAAGCCAATGCACCATAGTTGTTATCATCCAGTGCCACAAATTTCAGCTGTATTTGTATTTGTCAGACAGTGCATGACATTGGATTAGACATTGGATAGGCAGTTGAGAAAAGTTGAGAAAAGGACAATAGTATATTTTTAAAAAGATAAAATAAGGTAAAGCTGATCCCTTGAAAATCAGGAACAAGAAAGTCATGTGTCTTCTGATTCTTTTCAGAAATGCCTTGTTCATTTGAGCATGTCTTGTATGAGAAGCTCAGTATCTCTTGTCTTTGCAGTTGGGTGCTGATACTTTCAAGTACAAGGGAATTGAATAGAAAACTAAGTGCTATGATGGAGACTTGGAATATCGGCCATCTTATAGTGGGATGCACATAAAGTGCTGTGAGGTTAAAGTAGTGATTACTGTCTGTTTAAAGAGTGATGTGGGTTCCTGTGCCTTTTCTAGGGTGTGAGAGTCATAACTAAAACTTCTGCAGCATTGCTAGGTTGGTGTTCAGCTGTTTACTGACAATGGAAATTATTGTCTTTACATGGTTCATCATAAAGTACACCGAGCTTTTGGTGGCATAATGCTTTTGGGAGTCAAGTAAGATGATACATAAAGTAGCTATTGCTGCTTTTAGGGTCACTTGTCATTCTGAAGTTGATCAGTGGTAGGGACATAGCAGATGCTGATCATTTACTGATAATTCTGTTGTCTCTGTACTTCATTTGCACTTCACTTTATGTTGGCCACCTTTATCATGACAGTTCTTTGGAAGGTATATTTTAAGGGTCAGTGAGGAACAGTTCAGTGGTCTACAATTTCAGACCAATTGTGACCCTTGGAAATGACCCACATTTTAAATACCGAGCATTGGAGTATGGGTGCATAAATGTACAGAAGGCAAAACTAAATATTCTATTTCAGACTGTTTTATTTAAATGGCATATTCTAAGTCAACGAGGCGGGTTTTTCATGAAAGAATGCCAGTTGACGCTAAAAAAAGCTAAATGGTATGCCTCATGAAGATGCTAAGTAGAGATTGATGCTGAATAGCTGGGCAAAGTGGGGAGAAAAGGGATACTTTATAAAATGAGCAGCCAAGGCTTTGATTAGTGCAAGTAGATACTAGCAGTTATGTTAAAGAACTGTGAAAAGACTCAAAAGCTACTCCCTGTCAAGATATTTTTCTTGAATTTTCTGCATGTTTTGTGTTGGTCAAAACACCTGAAACACCT